CCCTGCCTTCATGGAATTTATAGGCCAGTTGATAGAGACAGAAAATAACAATTATAACAAAATGTGTATGTGTCATAATATCCGTAATGCAGGTTATCATGAGAACACAGAGGAAGGAGAGAGCTGACACACACCAGGCAGAGTGGGAAGGGAGCAGAAGTGATACCTAAAGGAACGAATAAAAGCAGCTGGGTATAGTCCAGTATATACACATAATATATATTTTGCACAGTAGTTATTAACTTTATAGTTAATTCATTTACCTTTTTGATATCTTAATTTTTAATGTCAAATGTTAATTTCTTTTTCACATGTTTCAGTCAGCTATTAAAACGTCGTGAAGTGTCAGTACCTTTAAAAATTGAACATCTTTCTGAGGAATTGGATGCATGGAGATCTTGCACACAGTCCATCAACCGGTGAGTAAATGCGATGTAAAAATTGGAATGCAAAAAATACCATCTAATATTAAAGATGAACTTGTTGGAAATGTGTACTGTCTCATTATTAATTTTAACAGAATAATCAATCTTGATATTTTTACCATATAATCAGTAACCGTTTACAATGCTGTTCTGTCTTTTTAAAGTCCTTTGTCCTACTGTAAATTAAGTCTAAAGTTGATTTGCCTTCATCTGTAAAGGAGGACTAAATAATCATCAGGGATTGTTTCTGTTGTAAACCTCAATAATTCTATGATTCTACAAAAATGAAATTTTAACATCTGTTGAAAACACAGATTAACAGAAGAATCTCCATCTACACCCCCTTCTGATTCACAAAGAATGGTTTATTCAACTTTACTAAAGAGAATAAAAGAAGAACCACTCAAAGGAATTATTGGACCAGATTATGTGACTGGATCAAATCTTCCGAGTCATTCAGACATTCACATCTCTTGTTTTACGGGATTAAAAATCCAGGTACAGTCCCATGTCAAGCATAAATTGTACATTTCCATCATTTTTATTTATTTCATTAATTTGAAAAAATATGCCTTTAAAGTAAGTCTAAAGTAAGTAAAAGTAGGTACCTATTTATAGACCCCTTTGTCCGTAAATTAAGAGAGACAGTCATTGTATTGACTATTATACAAGCATTTCATGTGATTCATATAATTAGTAACAAATATGTTTTAAAATACATGTAGGTCATATCATTAGGGAAATTACAGTTAAATAAAGGAGACAACGCAACAATCAACACAATTATAAATTATTGTATCTTAGTAGATTAACTTTCTACTC